TTCAGTTTTTGAAACCATCTTTTCATTCAATATTTTGTTTACAAATTCAATAGCATTATTAATCAAACTTTCTTCATCCTCTGATTCACTGTCACTGCATTCACTATCTGAAAAACTATGGTCTCCAATATCTTCATCATCATCAATAGTCAGTAGTTGAGTATTAGTAGCAGAAAAAATACTTGTAATTTTTAAGCTTCCTACTGCAGTATCCTTTAATGCCTTTTTTTTTCTTTGATGAGTGTGTGTAGAAAGCCCAGTATATATTTTTGGGCATTCCTTTTTTTTGAAACTAGCTTTGAAGCTGCAAGAAGACAGTCAATTATTGAATTTGCACCTCTATTATCATCTAATTCATCATCATCCTTTACAAGATCATCATTCGAATTCTTATCCTCATTAGAGTTAGTACTTTCATATTCCTCACTTGAGCTAAGATCAATAAGATTAGGTGGAGTAGTATTTATCACTTGCTGAACAGAATGAGCTGCATTCATTTTTTTCTTGTAACCTTTTAAATGCTGAAGGTTTAGTCATGATGGTTTTAAATTGAACAACCAGAAGATAAGTATTATTGTTGTTGTAGGATGTACATGTACAAGAAACTGTATCTTTGATTTATTCTTTCAAGCCAGAGCAAGGCTTAAGACTTATCCAGCAGAAGACACCCTTTTATTACAAGTTTTTTTTTTTATTTGAATTACTCAAATTCTTTAATAATTTCCATATTTTCTTAAGGTAGTGCCTATCTGTACATTATCTTGAATCCTTGTAAATGATAGTGCTATTTAAAATATAATTTTCACAAGTTATCTTTAAAATAAGCATATCAAATTGTATCAATGAATAGATGCCTTATGCTAAGATGTAAATGGGCATTATTTGAAATAAACTATTATCCAATTTCAAAGTAACAATTAGAATTATATTGCAAATAACTATTACAATCGATTTATTTAATTTGTTATCTTTATAACTAAAAAAATCAACAAATTAGTCTAGTTTACTCAGTAAAAAAATCTTATTTGATCATAATATTGTTTCTCAAAGTATTTGTGAATAAAATTAATTTTGCTATTAGTCTTTTAAGAATTGGCGTAAGTATTGCATACACAATTATAACAGATCAATTCCAATTAGAAGTTTCTTATTTTTTACTTATGGTTTGTCTCTGGGTAGAAAGTGTCTAGTACTGCTGCTCTAAATTATAAATTCTGCTGTAATTACTATTAAACTAGCAGATTTCACAGTGATATGTAAATAATACTTTAAAAAAAAAGTACAACTAGAAAAAATTTCTAATTTATTATACTCTTATAACACTTTACTCTGGTGTAGCTAGAGATGTTAAAAGTTCAGTTCAGTCAACTTAACTCCAAAAGCTGAGTTTTTATTAAAGTTCAGTTCCTTGGAACTCGACTTGCATTTCACATGCAACTTGTATATTTAAATATAGTGCTAAAAGAATATATATGCATGCAAAGTATGCATGAATACACATCTTTTTCAGCTATATTTAATGTTCAAGATGCATATGAAATGTGAGTTGAACTTTTAACATCCCTAGGTGTAGCAAATTATAAGGATCGTGGATGAGTTCTAATTAAAGCTTTATAAATGCACATGCCATGCACATTGATATTGAAGTTCATGTGCTTAGCATTTTTAAACCAGGCGTTAGGTGCTCTTATCTTCATTTTTCATTAGACATGGTCTTAAGTTAAGCTATTATAATATTCAGTCTAAAACATGCTCAAAGCTGGATTTGCATTATTTGATTACCATCATCAATGGTATTCAAGTAAATGAGGAATGAATTAGCCTAAATAAATCATTATGTAATATACTTTTACAGCTATTTTCAAAATTTTGAGACAAATGAATCGATAAAATTTTGATTTTAGCTAATATTGACTCCAACTCTTATCGATTCGGTCATCAAGAAAATTTTTAACTTATTAAAATAGCTGTAAATAATTTAAGTAGTATTAACTTTAAGTTAGTGTACCAAATAATAGTGAGGCCAGTTAAAAGATTAATCATATTATAAAAGTTATATTGTAGTCTTACAATATGCAATATATATGCAAGTTTCAATAAATCAGATCTTATGTAATTTTCATTACATTATATACAATATGACTACTCTACAAATGTTTGTTTAGTATTATTGTATAATATGGTCCAAATTGTAACATATCGAACACTAAAAACTATATGTGTTCAAAATTACAAATTATATGAAAGCTAATGAAACTTACTGCCACTACATGAAATCATAGTAATTTACTTTACTTTTACTAGGGCTTGCTTTTTTTATTCAAAGAATTGATTTTAATTCACTTTATATATCAATATCCAGTAATTTATTTATGTTATATATATGTGTCAATTTTTAAATTTATTATAAAAATTGGTAAACTTTAACCTGTTATAACTTTTTAAAAATTAACTAAAATGTGACTCTTTCCAGTTCATTACTGGAAAATAGCAAAAATACAAAATTTTACAAAAAAACAATGTAACTCTTTTTATAAACTCTAAAGACTATAGGGCAAGAGCCCTTACTTCTTGAAAAAGAAAGCTTGGCTTGTTAAATATAAGCAAGCCACAACAAAAGAAAGCTAAGTTATCAAGTCTGAAAGAAAAAACTTTTGTGCTTTTGCCAGAAACTAAAGATGATGCAAAGACAACAAAATTTTTAGAGACATTTAACAGTGCTGAAGTGAACCAAGATATGAACACTTAGACAAGTTGTTCTACTAACAACACTTCTTTTAACTAGGCCAACATTACAGAAAAAGAACTACAAGGCAGTAAAATATGGGAAGATATCCTTTTAGAACAAACAAAAGCTTTCTCCACAATAACTGAAGAAACAAACAATATATGTCAAAACAACAATGATACAGCTGATGAACACGTGTCTAACCAAAACAGTCAATCAGGGAACAACAATCAGGATACTGATCCATTGCCCCAGACCACCATGACTAAGATCCTGCTCCCATGGGCCAATGCTGTTAGCAAAAAATAGCTCTGCAAGCTTTAATAAGCCATTACAATGGTCCAACCTGTTCTCTAAACTTAAGAGAGGAAAAGCAGTTTTTTCCAAATCAACTACAAGACATAGAATTCATACCAAAAATGATAATGTGCTTATTCTAGACATACAAAGCCTAATCAATATTAACACCAATGATATCATCGCTGCTCCTGCTGCCAAAATGGGAGAAAACCTAATCGCAGCAAAAGTTCACACAACAAGAGGAAAAAGAACTTCCTTGGAAGTTATCTTAAAGAATAAAGAAAACTTCAACAATATGCCTCTGAAGGCATTCCATTATTTAAACAAACCCTCTTTGGGTATATACCAGTCAATATTA